TTTTTTTTTTTTTACTTTGGAGCATCTTTATCAAAGAATGGCATTTGAAAAATACCAGCTGGAAAAGCTAAAAAGTAACAATTATTATTAATCAATCACAAAAAACAAATCTGTACATACTAATTTGATTTTGAGATGGTTCATAAAATGCATTAATAACAGTTGGTGGAAGATTTCCCCATACTTTTCGTTCAACAGGTTTTCGAAGAAATCGAAAATTTTCTATAGCTTTTATTTGAAGTATTTTGAAAATATTATGAATATAAGATGAATTGAAAACATACTAAATAATTAACATATATATTCAAAAAAATCATTTCAAAATAAATTTTTAAATCTTACTGCAGCATAATCATTTTCAAGTTTTGTATTATTATTACTGCCTAAATAATCCGGATAACCAATTTGTTTACCAATGGTTTTAGCCTAAAATATCATTTGTTGATTTTTTTAAAATATTCATATTGAAATATTTATCAATATTTACTTTTTCAATAGCTTTAACTTTTGATATATTATCCATCCATAAAGATTGATTAATTATATTAATAAATGAATTTAGAATATTTTCAATCATTTTTAATGACTATATTCATAATATAAAATATAAAATTTTCGATATATTTATTTAAATACCTCATTTCGAGCATTTTGATCAAAATATTTTTTAATATAAAGTTTTGAAACAACGAAACCCATATTATCATTAACGTAAGCACCACATTTTATTCTCCTTGCTTGTTCAACATGAGTACCATAAAAAATTTTATTAAATTGTTCTTTTATTTTACGAATATATCTTGGCATATATTCAGCTTGATCCATCATAAAACGCCATATAAAATAATTTTGTAAAATACGTGGTGACGTTTTATTGATTATAGATGAAGTTTGTATCAAAAAATCTAATTCACTTATTGCTACAGGATCCATATCCTTTAGAGTTACATTACCAAACAAATATGCATGGTGAACATAAGCAGTAAAATTAAACTGTTCAAAAATAAATAAATAAAAACAACAAAAGAAAAAACAAGATTGAAGATTTACACTGGTATTCAATGTACGAGAAAGATTAGAAATTGTTGTTCGAATTGTTTCATCATGTCGACTGTGTTGTTCATCATAAGTCCAATAATACTACAGAGTAAAAAAAGATGATATATAGTATTTATATATATATAGTATAACAATGTCTAACTTTTGAAATATTCTTTTCAAACTCGTATATTTCTTTTACATCTTGATCAATCATTGAAGTATCATTTGTTAATGCTTTAGCTAAATTCAACATAAATTGTCGATAAGCAATATTAATATTTGTTTCATTTGTATAATATTGACGTTGTGGTAATCCAAGACTACCTTGACCAATCTAAAACAATATTATACTTTAGAAATAATCTGATTTTATTAAATAAGCTAATTGAATTTACTTTAATATTTGTTGCTGAAGAATTTTTCTCATCAATATCACTATGAATTTGGAAAATAATATTATAACTATATTGACGAAGTTTAAGTAATAGATTTGTTAGATTAAACATTGAACTATTCCATGATGAACCTTGTAAAATAGGCCAACCACCAAATTTTGTATTCATTAATGATAAAACAGGATCAATTCCTCCTATGTCAATTTCTGTTTCATCAATGCATGAACTATACAATATACGAGCATTGATAATAGATTGAAGTTTATCAATTTCATTCATCGATGTTGCTGATAGTAAATCTATATAAAAATAAAAATAAAAATAAAAAAAAACAGTTCATTGGAACTTACCAACGATATTTTCGTTAAGTTTTGTATCGAGAATTCTAAGCGTATTTTGTAAACCAGCTATAAATAATTCAAAAATAACCATATTCAAGAAAAAGTTGCTAGTATGAAACGTAGCCGAATTTCATGA